TGCCAGGCTTTTCTTGGGCGGCATACCCCCGGTCAGTACCCCACCGCTTTCTCTAGGCATGTCATCCCCACCTTCCCGAATGCCATGCAAGTTTTGGGATGAGATGAGGCCCATGTGCTTATGAAGACGGTAAATACAAACAGGAAATTAAGGAATGTCGTGCCGCGGCAATAGTAAATGTGCACCAGCCACCGTAACGATACAGCAAAATCGAAGTCGAACCTGGTATTTTGTGATTCGTTCAACCAGATGTGATACAAGCGCCTTATCGGTCACTTTTTGCAGAGGCAACGAAAGAATTGTCACCCATTTGAAGCCCATTTTTCCTACCAATTCAAACCTATAAAAAGGACTAACGAATGCTGGAATTATTGGTAGTCAGAACACCCTTTGTGTTATATTGGTTCGTCTTAAAAAATGCTTTAATTTTAATTTTTCAAAGCTCCCAATTTGAAGGAATTGTGTTGAAAAAAAAAAATTGTTTAAAAAATGCAACAATTATTAAAGATTGTTAATGAAATATGGCTAGCATTTTCGGGGCAAACAAACTACCTGAGAAAGGAAAAAACTATTCAAAGCGTAATTACAAATTAAAATTTTATAATTAAAGGTTAAAAAGAGAATATCAGGAGAAGGAAACAATGAAAAGAAGAAAAGGTTATTAAGATAAGTAAGGGGTATTAAAAAAAATATTTGTTATAGGTAAGAAATGTTTCAGTCCATTAAAGTGTTCCGTTTTGTTTTCGTAATTGAAATTCAGTAAATATAATTTTTTGCAGGAATACTCTTCCTTTTTTTCACTGTGATTTATTCGCCGCTGCTTCAGTTGTGGTTCCAGCCCCTGAATTTCATTTGTAGTGTAATGCTCCCTTGGAAGCTTTGTTATCTTACATGTTTGGATTTTACTGTTAGAAAAAAAGAGCACCGATGTAAATTTGGGCGAAATTAAATGGTAAATTCGATGAATTATGAGGCGAGCGAAAGCAACAATCAAAATTGGCCAAAATTTTGACGAAAAAAACCATACTTGAGCACACTGGAATCGTCAGTGCTGCCAGTGCGAAGATGTGAGCCACAGCTACTGTCCAGGCAAGTGACGAAATCGATGATCCTTTTCGGGAACGCATCGAAATCCGCATCTAATTCCTGCTCCCGCTTTAGCAATTCGTAATCATTGCGACGCAGTGCTAACATATAAACATACAATGGGTCCTCATCACGTGATAAGCAAAACACGAATTCCTGAAAAGAAAAAAAAAGGTTTTCCCCTTACTTTTTTGAAGTGTGCAGAGCAAGAATTTATGCATGTATTTTCACCTGTCCCGTAGAAATAATATGAGATTTTAGGTGGAACAACGTGGAGTCTTCTAGTAACCAGCGATCCACAAAAATGCTGTTTTAGGATGCAAAAATGACACCGTAATTACTCTCAGTGAATCAGACGTAACAAGCGGGAAGCACAAAAAAGATTTCGTAGCACAACACAGAGCAGCTTAGGCAGTTTTCATTGGTTGCAACACTATTATTATTCAACTCTACAGTTCCTTAGAGCCAATGACTAAAAGAATTTGGCGCTGGGTTTTTTCCCGTTCACTCGCCGTTACTGGGGAAATTCCCGTTAGTTTTTTTTTTCCTCCGCTCAGTTATACGCTTAAATTCATGAAGACCATGGACAAAAAAGGGAACAAAACAATACAAACACATAGATTTCCACTGT